GAGGAGGAGAAAAGAGAGTGGTAAAAAGAAAGCTGTGCCACAGGAGGAGTAGCAGATCCACTGTGTCTTGCTTTCAGGGTGGGACTAGCACTATTTTGGCTGACTGTAACTGTTCCCTAAAGATGGCAACAGTCTCACAGGTAGGTGGCTTTCAGTGGAAGCAGTGCTGTTCTCTGGCAATGACCAAGGAATTTGGGGGGTAAAATGGGGAAATGGGATAGATGTCTTCTTATGTTCCTTCAAAGCCTAAGCCATCAAAGTGATTCATAATGCAATAAGAGCTTTTGTTTTTCTATTAAGAAGTTAACTCGCAGACTCAGACCATTAGAAATTTCATGAAATCAGTGGCAAAAATTCCCTCTGCCACTGATAGGCCAGTAATTTAGGCCTTGAGCCACTCAGGGCAATCAAAAGTAATCTTTGGGTTTTCTTGGACCCAGAATGCAGAGATCAGGTGGACATGATTTTCTTCTGAGGGACCTAGGGTTCTCTGCTGATCTGATGCTTGGTTTGCCTACCTACATCTTACCCTCTATTCACATGACATCTTTTTAGCAGTGTGTCCAGTTGGAAGGCTCTAGTCCATGAATACTTTGCTAATATAGTAATATAATTCATTGTCCACTTTTCCAAGTAAGCTACTTCTTTTATTATTGTTATTGTTATTATTATTATTATTATTATTATTATTATTATTATTTTGTGTATGAGTGTTTTGCCTGCATGTAGGTAAATGGACCTGTGTCATACAATGCCCGCAGGGGACAGAAGAGGCTGCTAGATCCCTTGGAACTGGAGTTATGGACAGTTGTTAGCTGCCATGTGGGTGCTGGGATTCAAACCTGGGTCTTCTGCAAGAACAACCAGTGGTCTTAACCACTGAGTAATCTTTCCAGGCCCCAAGTAGGCCACTTCTATATCACGTATTTTCTTGTGATTGTTGGCTACTTGGAATGTGGTTGCCATCAGTTAGAGAGTTTTAAATCCAAAGACTTATAGGGTCCACCAATCATCTGTTGTGTCTAGTAAGGTATCAGCAACAGCTAGTTTTCATTTTTATAAATTGGTATATATTCATTGTATATGGTGGTGGGTTTTAGAAACATTTTCTATATATATTGGCTATATAGAAATATATATTTCAAGTATGATCATATACGTGGTTTTATGCATCTTTATAAAATCTAGTATCCACAAAAGAGAAAAAGTATGCAATATTTGTCTTTTTGCATGTGGCTTATTTTGCTTAATATGATGAAATCACGGTACATTTTTCATTCTCTACCAAAGGATATAATTTTATTTTTCATTATAGCGGCATAAAACTCCATTGTATAGGAGCTGGAGAGACGACTCAGTGGTAAAGAGCACTGGCTGCTCTGGCAGAGGATCTGAGTTCGATTCCTAACACCCACATGGTGGCTAACAAGAATCTGTAAGTCTAGTTCCAGGAGATTCAACGCCCTCTTCTGACCTCTGTGGGCATTGCATGACATGGGTGCACCTAACTACATGCAGGCATTACACTCATACACAGAAAATAAAAATAAATAATATTTTAAAATAAAAATCTCCATTGTGTATGTATACCACATTTTCTTTTTTTATTAATCTGTTGCTGGACACCTAGGGTGACTCCCTTACTTGGCTGTTGTGAATAGTGCTGTAATAAACATGGAGGTGTTGGTATCTCTGTGATGGGCTGAATTAGAATCCTTTCGGTATACAGGAGTGTGGCTTGTAGTTTTTGAGGAATCTCTACACTGATTTCTATAGTGTTTGGACCTATTTAGCTTTCTTCTAGTGGTTGATAAGGGTCCGCTTTCCTCAATATTATTTGTTGTTGTTTGTTTTCTTTATGATAGCCATTCTGACTGAGATGAAATGATCACAGTGTAGTTTTGCTTTGAATTTCCCGGGTGGATGAGAATATTCAACTTGGAAATATGAAGTTTTAGTCATTCTGATTGCTTGTGTTCAGTATATTTTTGTTTGTTTATTCAAGAAGCATCTTCTTAGGATAGGATAGAGTTAAAATTGATTTGCATCCTCAGTAGATACAAATATGTCACGTATTGGTGAAAGAAAAATGCTAACAGGATCTGACAATTTTTTCTTCACTAAGCGAACACAGCAATCCATTTGATGGTTATATTTTACCTGCATATAACACAAATGACTAGGTTTTTAGAAAATATACAACAAATTAGCAAATTTGACTCCACCTTGAAAGAAGAAAAGCAATGGCTGTAATAAGCAGCAGTCACTGCCAAGTGCTGCTCATAAATCTACGAAGCTTCAGCTTCCTACTGGATTAAGGCTTTTCATTCTTCTGCATTACGGCTGGTTGCCCCTGACATGTTATATCTTATTGTGAGCCGCTGTGTGTGTATGTGTGCAGTGAAAGAAAAACAAAACAACGGATCCCGTTAATACTTTTCATATTTGTGTACATGGAATGAGGACTTGGAAAAACCGTTTTTTTTGTCACCTTTCCCCCATATAATGCAATGCAGAGTCTGGTTGAATAGACTCCTGTATGTTTCTTGTTTTAGATTCTGCTCTATACTTTAAAATGTGTTTTATTCACTACTCTCAGCACAAGGCACAATCACCAACTTACGATGAATATTTGTTAAGTGAATAAGTATACCCATTGTAGCTTAGTATGTGGTAGGTATATTACCTTTGGTCCAGACCACTGGAAAAATATTTTTCTATTCTAGGACTCTTGACTGGATGTACTTGGTTAGTTGATTTTCTTCCTGTGTTTTCTCCATTTGTGTTGTGCAGAATGGTGAAATTGTAGGTCATTTACATTTTAAAATCACCAATGGAGCCCATGAGTTCATATAAAATAGTGCTACAGAATATAAAAGGAATAGGTAGAAATATGCTTCTACCCTCACAACTTGGATATTTCCCTTCATTTCTTTATGCTTTATTTCTCTACTGGGAAGGACCACCAACTTCTGTCTAATCCTAAAAGTTGTTTGATGCTTAGAAATAAATGAATGAAAGTGTGTTTGTGCATAGAATATTTACAAATTCACACCATAAATTAGGCTTATTATTTTTATAAAATTAGTTGATTTTTTTTAATCCTCGATATTCTAATCATCAAGTATGGCATGGAGTTGTATGGGTGTGAGGACAGGCAGCATGCTAACTAGCTTCATGTGCCAACCTGGCTAGAGCACCCAGTTATTTAATCAAGCCCTAATGGAAGTGCTGCTCTGGAAGTATTTTGTAGAAGTGATGACATCTATAATCACTGACCTAAAGTAAGGGATAGATTATTCTGGATAGAGTAGATGAGTCTGAGGTAACTAAGTCTTGAGTGAAAAGTGAGGCTTTCTCAAGAAGAAATTCTGATTCTGTGCTATAGTATCAAATTCTGTCAAGCTTTCTAGCCTGGCAACTGTACAGTCCTGAAAGCCATACATAGTTTTACTTATGTGTGAAGATACAGAATATATGTGTATATATATATTTATACATGCAATGTATAGATGTGTATGCATGTATTTTGATGTGCATACCTATGTGTGTATTTTTATATTGGTCCTGTTTTTCTAGAGAACCTTGACTAATATGGGGAGAGAATAAATACAGGAAAAAGGTTAAAAAAACTTAGTATTTTTATTTACCAATCTGACATTTCTGAAGCTTAGCAGTATCTAAATCACTACATAGAAGTCAAGAAATTATAAGGAGACAGTCATTACGGACAGTATAGATATTTCTAAAAAATGTAATCATGTCAGAGACACACATCCTCCCATGTTATTGAAGAACTACTCACCATAGTCAGGAAACGGAATTAATCTAGGTGCCCATCACTGCATAAATGTATAGATCGAATGTAGTTCATATATGCAGTGGACTACTAATCAACTATGAAAATAAAATGTTACCACATGTGAAAACATGGATGGAACTATAGATCATTACGTTAAGTGACATAAGTCAGACACAGAAATCCAAGTACTGTGTGACCTCACTCATGTATGGAACCTGAAACAGTTGACCTCGTGGAAGTCGAGAGCAGAATAGTGGTTACCAGAGCCGGAAAGCAGCTGGGAGGGAGGGATGAGAAAGGCTGACTAAGGAGTACTAAGCTGTAATTATATCTGATAAATAAGATCTTGGGTTCTATTGTACACTGAGTGGCCATTGGTGACAATAATTATGTATTCCAGAAAAGCTAGAAGTGGGGGATTTAAATATTTAAAAAATATTTTATTATTTATATTTTATGTGTATGAGTGTATTATCTGCATATATACCCATGTCATGTACCCATGTACCCGTGTCGTGCAATGCCGCAGAGGTCAGAAGAGGGTTTCTGATTCCCTAGAACTGGAGTTAAGAACGATTCGTAGCCACCATGTGGATGCTGGGAATCGAACCTGGGTCCTCTGCAAGATCAGTCAGTGCTCTTAACCGCTGAGCCATCTCTCCAGCCCCTGGGATTTAAATATTTTTACAGCAAAGAAAAGTCTTTGAGAATATAGATGTTTATCCATCACATTTGAACATTGTGTGTGTATATATATGATATAGATATAGATATAGACATAGATATAGACAGATATAATTTCAAAGCATTACGTGGCGTTCTACAAATCTGTCCATTTTATGTGACAATTAAAAAATAAGCTTACAAAACAATATAGCTTAATGTATTCAGCTGTTGTGCTACCAAGTTAGGAAACAGCAATTTCAGTGCTCATAGATCTAGCTTAATGTCTCAGGCCACAAGAAATGACCCCATGTTTGGAAGCACGGGTTCTTGTCACCGACAAGGAGCTTTCAGTCCGTCACATACGAATCGCTTCATAATTGCACATCAGTGTTTCAGGTAAACAGGAGCCTAAAAACAGACATCTTTTTCTAAGAGTTGATGTATCAATTCTTTTTAGAAGCAGAGAATTGCAATGCATGCAGACCTAAACAAATAAAACAAACACTTGGGGCGAAAAGAAAAGTAAACTTGCTTTGGATAGCAGGAGACGACGTTTTGGCAGCTGAACAGGGCAAGAGCTTCATGAGCCGCTCTTTAATGCTGCGCTTGGTGCTGTTCTGAGCGTAGAGGAAACCTAGAAAATACATGATCGGTTCTGTTAATGCTGTCTGCGCACAGGGACCCTCAGGGCTGCAGGGGTCACCAGGGGAGCTGGGCCGGCAGGATGGGGAGACAGCCAGGTGCTCACTCAGGCAATCACAGGCAGTGGGTTAGGAACCCTCAAAGTTTTCTCTCTAAGTTTTCTTCACAACTTTTTCTTAGGTTGCATTAAAGACACTGATTAGCAAGTGAAAACAGAATGAAGGAATTTTACTGTATGACAGGAATAATTTAGTGCTTATTTTAGGCCTTAGATAAAAAGCAAAACAAGTATCACTGAAAAAAATTTGCCTGGATTGAAATTTCAATATTCAAACCAGCAGTGTTAAGGGCCCACATCACAAACTGTTCTCACTGCTTCCCGTCTCTGATTGCAGAGGAGAAAGATGAGCTGCATAAATCACTCACACAGCAATCACCTGTTAGTACTTTTGCCTTCCCTGAAAATGAGAAAATAAATGACCTTGACAGGCATCTTCATTAGCATATGTTGAAGAGTGGATATGTAGGGATCCTTCACATTTTTCATACAGGGACATTAATGAATGGAATGTATTCAAGCAAAGCCATTCCAAAGGAAGCAAGGTGTGCGTGCAAAATAGTAGTCCAGGGATAGACCCTGGTGCTGCAGGGACAGCGCCCATGTCTTCAGGCAGTTGGAGAGGACTCAAAATCAGTAGTGGCTGAGTAGGCTAGCTAGCAAATGTCTGAAACAGCTTTTCATGACAGGAGCCCACAGCCATTCACCGTCAGCTCAGTCAGTCCTAATGCAGGAAAGTCTGAATTTTCATATTAATATCAGTTGCTTTCCCCAAGTTACTCTGGAATGCATCACGTCTAAAGCAAGAGAACCATTTTAAACAGAAGTCAGACTGTCCGCAATGGGGACCTGGCGGATGTGTCATCTGTTCTGCTATTATTCCTACCTCGGGATTTAAGACCTGACCCCGAACCTACGGATCTATCTCCTGTGGATCTATGGATCTATCTCCTGTGTTCCATCTCACAATCAGTGCAGAGTAGCTAAAACTTGTATTTGTGGGAGAAATGAAGAGGTAAATATGTAAACCAAATCAGATCAGTCTCCTGATTCAAAGCCCTCTTAAACTTCCACAGTGTCAGGGGGCGTGGTGTTAAGGGCAAATTCGATCAGTGACCCTTGACCACACTGCCCTTTCTGCCTCTGTCAGACAGACCTGACAAGTTAGATCTCCCCCTGGCTTATCCAATTTTGTGGTATGAAATGTCTGCTTCAATTGATTTCCTAAGTGCTGGCTGAAGACTTCGCACCTAACTAAATGTTCATAAATTCATATTGCATATACAATGGGTGATGCCAGTGTTTATGAAATCCAGTTTACACAGAGCAGATTTCAGTTTGCTTCCTCTGTCTACATTTCTGGAAAAACCGTTCCTTCTGAACACTGTCTCCTTTGAAAATTCTGAGGCTCATTTTTCTCTGCCATTTCCAGCCTTCATGCCATGGTACCACATGTGTGCTCCCTCCCTGCAGTCATCCCTTCACCAGAGGTAAACATCTACATCCCCAAGCTGCTTTTGAAACAGTTTGGGCACTTTCCTCAGGAAGATTTTCCCTTGTGGGGAAAGAAATGCCTTCCCACATGTAATCACTCCTAGTGTTCCAGCACCCCAATTTCTAGCACTAGGTATTGCAACATACTGTAGATGAGAGCCTATTCTGACAAAGAACTTCAAGGGGAAGGCTCTACCACCCTTCTCTAGTAGGACCCTAAGTGACCCTCTCGCCTGCTTCCTTTGCTTCAGATTTGATTCCCTGACATCTAGCTGAACTGTAATTGTGGCAGAAACTTAAAGTGTTTGCTGGTTGCTTGATTTCCCTATTTGTCCTAGGAACACTGGTATCTTCCAGCTCTGGCCTTGTGTGGGGAGGGGAGATTGTTCCTTCCCAACCACTCACAACTGCTAATATTGTCCTGTTCACCCACCTCTCATTTGGTAAAATAGAAAATGTGTCACTTTTAATTAAACTTTAGAAGTCTTTAAGAGTTTAGTTCCCACTTTACTATTTCAGCCTAAATGACCTTGTAAAGATCATTAAACTTAGGTGTCTACTTTTACACCATAAAACAAAGGGAATTATATAGAAAGACCTTGGTTATAAAACAGTTTAAAGGTCTCTTTCAAGAATATATTTATATTGAGGGCTGGAGCGAGGCCTCAGTGGTTAAGAGCACTGTTTGCTCTTGCAGAGACCCTGGCTTCAGTTCCCAGCACCTCCATGGCAGCTAACAGTGGTCCATAACTCCAGTTCCAGGGTAGCTGACACCCTCTTCTGACCTCCATGGGCATTACATGACATGGGTGCACTTACATACATGCAG